CCTCTAAAGGACAGGGTCCTCAGCTTGGGAGTGCTCCTCGACCCAGAGCTGTCTTTGGGAGCTCAAGTGACTGCGGTGGCAAGGAATGCTTTCATTCAGCTTCAGTTGCTCCATCAGCTGTTCCCAACCTGGAGAACTATTGCTTGGCGACAGTGACACATGCACTGGTTACTTCCCGATTGGACTTCTGTAATGCACTCTACGTGGGGCTGCCCTTGAAGACAGTCCGGATACTTCAGATGGTGCAAAATAGAGCAGTCAGGTTGCTGACAGGGACTGGGCATTATTCTCATATAACCCCAGTCCTCTACCAGCTTCACTGGCTCCCCATCGAAGTCCGGGCACAATTCAAGGTGCTGGTTATCACCTACAAAACCCTTAACGGCTTGGGACTTGGATATCTAAAGGAACACCTGCTTCCATATTTGCCCTCCCACCCTTTGAGATCAGCAGCAGAGGCCCTCCTCTGGGAACCCTTCATGAAAGATATTAGGAGGGTGAGTACCCGGGGGAGGGTTTTCTCTGCGGTGGCGCCCCACTTATGAAATGCGCTCCCCAGAGAGGTCCGCCTGGTGCTGTCGTTATTTGTTTTTCGGCGCCAGGCCAAGACCTTTTTTTTGAACAATATTTTAGTAATTGTTGACATTATTTATTGGTTTTAAAATATTTAGCCAGGATGTATCCAGATTTATATGTATCTATTTGTATTAGTATTTATTTATGATGTTGAAAGCCGTCCCAAGGCTTATGTGAATGGGACAGCATACAAAAATTCCAAATAAATAAATAAGCAGTCCCATGACAAGGAACTCTAATGGGAAAAGGAGTCCAAGGTGGCTGGGAAATCTTAAAAAAATGACATTCTAAAGGTGCAACTACAAGCAATTCCAGCAAGAAAAATGTGTAGGAGGCAATAGCAGAAGACCATGTGGCTTCACAAAAAGCTGAGATAATTTAAAAACAAAAAAGAACATGTATAGGAAGTAGAATGAAGGGCAGGCTACACAGGAAGAACACAGGCAGGTAACACAGAATTGCAGGGAAGGCATCAGGAAGGTGAAAAGTAGGAATGAACTGAAGCTTGTGAGGCAACAAAAAAACCTTCCTCAGTTATGTCCTTCAGTACATGTAAAAATCAACTCTATGATTCTATGATAAGGGCAAATGGACTTTCAAACAACCTGGTTCTACGGTGTGTGTATGGCTTCACATATCACAAGCAACAGTTTAAATTGTGACTAGAAACAAGCTGCCCCGAGGCTTCGGCAAGGGGCGGCATAGAAATGTTATAATAATAACAACAACAACAACAACAACAATAATAATAATAATAATAGTAACCAGATAAGTTGTTGGTATCACATGCTCCCTTAAAGTGTCCATGTTCAGCAGTCTGGCCACAGCATTCCAAACCACCACTGCTAGAGATGACATTTAAATTTACGAAGCTACAGTACAGTCTTAGGATCTCTTATCCATAAAGTTCACAGTTTAAGTATACTGTTGGATTCAGCTCTGAACCTATAAAAAAGAATTGGGTGGAACCATTGCCTGTCCTTGTGAAATGAGTTTTCATCTCTAGCTGACAGAAATGCAAAAGTGGTAACAGCCACATTGCCCAGAAGATCACCATACCTTCTAGTAATGTTTTAACAAATTTTAAATGGTATTAAATTTCATCACATGCATTAAACATGCATTTATATTATTCTATCGAAGTTTTTTTATGGTTGTGAGCCGCCTCGAGGCTTCGGCGAATGGGACGGCATAGAAGTCTCCTAAATAAATAAATACCCAATGCTAAAAAGATTGAACATCCTTATTCTAGAGCAAATGAAGCATCATAAAGCAGTAACATAACTGTGGATGGAAGACTTAGGTCTTTCTTGGCCATTTTACTTTCATGCATGTTCACCTCTAATTCTTTCCCATCTCATCCATACAGTAATCTGCAAATACTTTTAAAAATTCTCTGAAAATACACTTTTCAAAATGTAGTTTAATACATTTCTTTTGAACCATGAACTGCATCAGAACTCGATTCCAGTTCATACATGGGCCAGGAGACATGGATCAGATCAGTTCTTATCAGAATTTGCAAAGTTGACCATTTCAGAATCCTAAAAATAAAATATATGCAGAACATCCATTGGACATACTTAGATGATGTAATTACTTGAAAATAAATAATTGTCAATTGTGGCATGTGAGGCAGGTACAGAGATGTCTGTCAACATTCCTTTATTCTGTAACTCACTTTCTAGAAAATAGGTCATATGAAGGAGTGTCATTATCAATATACTTCAGTACTGACCTAGAGAGACCTCTAGAGGTGAAACATGATCTGAGTTTTCATGTATTTATTTAGCACTTTTGTGCATAAGACCAAATTTTTATAACTTTTATTTCAGCTAATGCAAGGCCTTCATAATAAAGACAAACAAAACATGTCTCCTCTTGCAAGGACATTACACAGTAGTTCCCTGGTCCTGTTTCATGTAGTGAAGGAGGAATTGTATCACTTCACATCAGAGTAGAAGCTTTCTTGGTGAGCATTAAGGAGGAAGAAGTGTCTTGTTTCCAGGCATTCTCTACTGTCTTGTAATGTCTACCAATGTGTGCTTGTGATGATGAACATGCATATATTGCAAGGGCAGCGAAACCTTTTGTATTTGTGGACCCATTCGGCAATTGGAGAAACTGTTGTGGGCAGTGCTTTTTTTGTAAAAAAAAAAAAAAAAAGGGTGCCGGAACTCATGTCTTGGAGTCACACTTTTACACTAAAAAAGATTTTCAATTCACCAACTTGTTTTGAAATAAAGAACTTATTTACCTTTTGCACGTAGCCAATCACTCTACACAAACATAAACATAATGGTAGCCGCCGGCAGTAAGCACTGAGCGCGCGACCACACACACCAATCCCAAGCTGAGCAGCGTCCCAAGCTGAGCAGCACCCTCACAATCAGCATGGACACACAAGCAGCCCGCAGGTGATTCAAAATCACTCCATTGGAAAAATCTGTCAAAAAAAAGGTGCCGGAACACTGTTCCGGTGCGTTCTATGACAAAGCCCTGGTTGTGGGTATGATCTCAAAATGGCTGCCACAGAGGGTATGGGTACTAAAAAAGGACAAGTATCCTGGACAAAAGAATGAGTACAAGGCAGTGGTGGGACTCTGAGCCCCAACACACTAAAGAACTCATTCAAACACATTTGTCAGTACCAAGAGAATCATGAACCAAACCCCTTTTTTCCTCTATCCGTTTGCCAACAAGCTCATTCTTCCTATTCATTTTTATCACCATCACAGGGCACCCTTTATTCTCCCCCTTTCAATTTCTTGGTAGCTGGGTAAACTATTTGCCCTCCCGCCCCCTGAGATTGGCAACAGAAGCCCTCCTCCGGGAACCCTGTGAAAGATATTAGGAGACAGAGTACCCGGAGGAGGGTCTTCTCTGCGGTGGTGCCCCATCTATGAAATGCGCTCCCCAGAGAGGTCCACCTGGTGCCGTCATTATATGTTTTTTGGCGCCAGGTTAAGACCTTTTTATTTAATCAATATTTTAATAAGTTTTAATATTGAATTGTATTATTGCATTTTATTAATTGCAGCCAGAGTGGGTCGTCAATTTATTTATGCTGTTAGCCATCCAGAGACATTAGTAATAGGATGGCATACAAATTTTATAAATAAATAAATAAAATACTAGGGAAAATGACAACCTGCATTTGGCTGCCATCTTTATTTCATAACAGTGTCTCTGAGTCCCACCTACGATCCAGGGATGCTCATGGGAAATGAAGAGGGTGGCAGATTCTTTCTTTGCTTTGAAGTCAGGGAGGTGGGTCACCTCAATGGGTGCCGACAGTGATGTCCAGGGCACATTGGTGTCTGTGAGCACCCTGTTATTTTCCTCTACCTTACAGTATTCTGGGAACTGAAAATACAAAACCTACAATATTTTCCACTCATGCCACTCAGTTAAAGCAAGCAGACATTGAGGAATACAATCTGAATGGGACTATGAAGAAAGCAACCATGTAAAATGGTGGAATATTAAAGGGAATAAACCCAGACAGAGAAAAGTTATTGATTAAACTAAAGAATATGTTCTGGTCATGTAGTTGATGAACCAAAGTTTTCTCAAGAGCAAGGAGTTAACCTTAAATCACCCCCTCCTAGATGAGATGGCTTGAGAAGTTTCCTCAGATTCCAAAGCTCTTCTTGTTAAATGAAAAATTGGCAGTGCAGGATACAGCTACAGCATTGCCAATACATGGCAGTTCAGCCTTTGTTTAAATACTAATGGTGAAGGAGAATGTACACATCGTGTGGCAGCCTAACTCACTCTTAAACGGCTCTTACTATTAGGAAGTTTCTCCTAACATTTAGCCAAAATCTTCCCTTGATTCTAGTCCTGCTGTCTTGAGCAATGGAAAACAGCTCCACTCTCTCTTCTGCATGACAGCTTTTCGGATATTTAAAAACCTCTTTCATGTTGCCACTTAATCTTCTCTTCTGCTAAACATACACAGTTCTTTCAACTGTTCCTCACAGGGCTTGGCTTCCGGAACTCTCATCATCATAGTGATCCTTCCCTGAATTAATTACATTATGTCAAAGACCTTCTTAAATGTGGTACCTAGAACTTGAGTCAATATTCCAAATATGGCCTGACCAGCACAGAATACAACAGGAGTATGACTTCCTATGATGACACTATGCTGCTGTTAATATGGCTTATGAACATAATGGTTTTGTTGTTGCTGTTTTATTTTCTAGTTATAGTTCATCTTTTTTTCTTTACTATATATGACAGTATAAATCTGTGCAAGTAGACATTTTGCCTTAAAAGGTAGGATATAAAATCTGAAAGAAAAAAATCTGTCTATGCATTAAAAATAAACAGATTTTGCCCTGCTTGTGTATACGTTCTCACTTGTAAAGCATCCCATATATATTACTTGAGGAAATCTTTGCATTTTTTCTATTTAGGTGAATCAACTGAAAAAATAAGTAGTGAAGCAGCTCAGATGCCAGAATCTACAGAACCTGCTTACAGCAGTCATATAGTAAATAAATCACAGGAAGAAATTGAGTCTGAGAAGAACCCAATTTCCAAGGAAATTTGGATGGACTATGAAGATTTCTGTATTTGTTTTCAGTAAGAAATGTTTTGTTTTGTTTTGGTTGTTAGGGGAGCTGTATCAGTGAAAATATAATACATTTTACTGTTGTACTGAAAACACAGAGCAAGTTAATTGTACTTGGGTTCAATTGAAAGCTATGTAAAAAGTTAGTCATGTCAAATTTGTCCCATTGATTTGGGGGGATTCAGAGCAAGTGAGTTGTGTGACTCACTCTGGATCCAACGTACTGAATCTTCAAAATAGACCAATTTGTGAATGCAGCTAATAGCTGCCTTATAAAATGCATTCATGGTTTCTGAAGTGCCTACCAGCAAAGCAAACTAGCAGATTTTCCTGATAAAACCCTTTGTAGCTTTTTGCTGTTAAATGTAAGATCAGTTTTTCAAATTATAAGAATGATATTTTTTTTAATAAGTTTTATTTGAAATTATAATCCTAAACAAAAACAGAAAACCTACAAACAACATCCATCATCAAAAACATTGGGCCCACTGGGTCAGCCCCCACACCCTTCTTTTTCCATTTATGATAACTTAAAAACATATTTAAATCTATGCAAAGTCCCATTTCTCTAGCCAATAATAAAAAGAGTCCCAAGTTTGATAGAAGTCATTAGAATGATATTTCTGTTAAGCTTACATAAAGCAATACCATGAGACCCATCATGTCAAGTTCTTTATGTATGAATATAGAATAGGCCCAGTGGGCCCCTCAAACATTCAGAAGACTCAGAGCCACAATCAAAGCTTGGGCATTTGCCAAGGAGCTGCCACTTGGCATTGGCCCATTGGTGAGAAAGCCCCGGACTTGCTCCTCCTCCTCACTATTGCAATTTGTTTCTTCACCTGCCTCTCTGCCAGTCAAACAAGCATGTCTGATGATGAGAAAGAGGATAAGGAGTAATACCAGCTAGCAGCAGTGAGAAGTTAGATTCATTGAAAAAGAGGGCCCATGGAGGGTACATTGCTGTCTTAAGGGCTGTCAAAAACCTTGAGCTGACACTGACTGACCAAGCTGCTCAAAAGCCCTCAGCTGATGTCTGTGACATCCGGGTCTGATGTTAAGAATGTGATATGGGATCGAAAGCTAACATGGCAGTGTAGGGTGAGGTCAAAGAATCTTGTTTCAAAGATGCAGCAGAGGGACTAGAAATGTGGAGTCACAAGATTCTGCATAAGTCAAGGGGTTTTAAACCTCTGTGCCTAAGGGTGGAGAGATCCCTGCAGCATTACAAGCCCAATTAGCTGGTCAATGCAGAGTGATGGAGGATGGAGCATTTGTGTTGGAGAATTTCTCTGCAAATTTAGTGGAATGCACTGAACAATAAGTCTGAATCTTGTTTAAGAGAAGTGGTATAACACTCAAGATAAAATTCCCAAATCCTTACAGCTATGATAACCCCATTCTGCTGACCAAAAGAACCCCCTCCCCATATTGTGCAAGTTTTCAAGATCTCATCTTTAGGCAAACTGTTATAATGTATGAAGGGAAGGCATAGGGGAAATTTTGAAAATACCCTTCACCCTTCTCTTCCAGCAGCCTTTTATAAAATCCTGCCTACTGAAGAGATCCATGGATCAATAAGTAATACAATAAGTATTATACAATTTGGAGGTAATCTTTTGGATAGCCTAACTAGAGTTTGATTTTTTCTTGTAGTCAGCACGTCTATCTTTGCTTTTTCCCACTGTGCCACCCACATCCCTAGGTAATATTTCAGACCAAACAATTTACTATGGGAGCATCCCCTGAAATGAAGTGAAATCACTGATAGGATCATTTAGCACAGCATCTTTAGGATTTGGTTGAACTTAGTATTGCAGTTTATCCATCATGACCTGAGCACATGACTGTACTTTTTAAAAAATCAGAGTTAATATTTGTTATGATCCTGGGTTTAACCAAAACATGATAAAGGAATCATGGGGGCAGTCATTGTGATATGCAAAACTTCATATTGCATCCATGACAACAAAGCAAAGTCAATCACTTTCATAATGAGCACACCACAGTTCATCAGATGAAAACTAAGCAGCCAACCACAAGTCCAGTTGTTTCAAATCAGCACACTCATCTTGGCTATTTGAGCTCATGTTGGCAAGATAGATAAACTTTATTTCAGTCAAAGACCAGCTCCGTTCAATAAATACATAGATTAAAAAAGAACTAAAATAATGATGCCAACCCAAATAGGGTAAAAACACTGTGGCTAAAACTCCAATGAACAATAGGAATTTATAACAAAAAGAAAATAATTCATCTGTTAGTAGTCATTAATGGATACAAATTAGTTGCATGGTTCCCACTTCACTAAGTTGCATGTATTTGGAAATTTATTACTACTACTGTTACAACTACTACTAATAACTACAATAATCAAATGCTAAATAATTATCCAAGAAATATAGAAGAATGGTTAGTTTCTGTGTTCTTGTTATTCAACAAGGTTTAAGGGAGAGAGTTCTTTATTACTAATGTTAACATATGCATTTTCATCTTTTTAGGAACCTGTATGTTTTCCACAAAACAAATACCTATATCTACACTTACCAGAAGTCAGATTTTAGGGTAAGTAAAATGATGACATGATTTATTCCACTGTTTATAAATTATAAGGGCATTATACAACCCAGTACATCTCAGTTTTCCATGCGCTATGTAAATATATGCTTTCCTCAATAAAATATCAGGCAACAAAATACTAATACAAGTAAGCCATCCAGAGACTTCTCGTAATGGGACAGCATAAAAAAAACTTTAAATAAATATAAATAAATAAATAACAGAAAAAGCTGATACAAATGCTAAAAATACAAATAATTAGCATAAAATGCTATCATGATAAGATCTAATGTATGTAATGCATTAAAATATACTTTTAGAGCAAATAATATAATTTTACATTTACAATACAGTGGAATAAAATTAGGCTCTCCATCAATTTAATAACTCTTTGCATCTCAGCTAATTTTGGGTTTTTTTACTGCCAAATATTAGCAATATTAGGAAAAATTGAAGTATCTTAATGGCCATAGCATACTGTGGATCACCCACTCCATGGCAAGAGATGGAGGCCCACTCAAGAGAAGAAAAATCCACGCACAAGATCCTCCTTTGACCAGCATTGGAAAGTTCCAGCAATGTGTACTTCACAGTGGGTTCTCCAGCAGTGCTAAGGGTGAAAAAGATGCATTTTTGGGATGTGTAATGGGTGATCCAAAGCCCTATTGTTCCATAGACATGCCCCTGGAATAGGTCTGTGTAGAGTAAATCATGCCAACTCTGAAACTGGAATAGCTCTTTGTTTTCCTGCTAGATGCAATGGAGGAATTAACCAAGAAGAAAGGTTTGAAATATGTCCTTTTCTCTGGCTGGTGTGAGTTTTCCAGGACTTTAGGATTGCTGGTTCCTTTGCTATGGATTCTCCATACCCCACGCAGTACGATTATTATACAATTCATCACTCATTCATATACTGTAATACTATTGATTGTGATAATTCACCAGTGTTTATGCTGCATGTACAGTGGTTTCAAAGCCTGCTTTATATACTGCACCTGTGTTTCAACACAATGATTACTATTTGATCATTCTGTAGTTATATCAAAACATGACAAATTCTGATCAGAATATTGGGTTGGATTCAGATTTAGTTAGACAAAAGCCTTTGAATTCAGTGGGACTATAGCCATGACTGTCTTTGTTCCCGCTGATTTCAGTGTATCTATTTTTAGTATGACTAAGCCTGAATCTTACTCATCATGTCTATGTCCTGGTCTCTGTTTGCTATCATCTATGATAACACTGATGAGATATCCTTCCATGTCCCTTCCTGCAGTATACTCAGCATCTCCACTGCCCATATAGATTTTCAGGAGCTAGAATGGCACCATCCACTCACATATCAACCTACATGTAGAGAAGCATATATAGAGAAACTAGGTAAAATAAAAACCTGTTGGATTAACAAGTAATTTTACTCGTATTTTACTCATATTCAGCATTCAGTTGGGATTTTCAGTTCTGTGAAATTAAACTAGGCACTATAATTTTACTTTACAGGAACACATTTCATGGTATTTTGAGTGAATCAAAAGAATGAATTTGCCAAGATTGAAAATAACTGTGCTGCAGACTCCCTTTAGCTTCAAAACTCATGTAATTTAGCCAATATGGTCTAACTAATTAAATCCCAGTTGCAGAATTAATACGGCTATTACTTCATTATGTTAAATAGCCTTATGTTTTCTCATTTGAAATACATAGGGCAATATACAGTGCTGGCAGTACTAAACACATAACACTAGCACAAATGACTATAGCACAATGGAAAAGCAGTGCTTGCTAGTACAACCCAGGAAATGACCTACTGTCATTTCCAGAATGGGACAATTCCGTGGTCTCCCTTCTGTAACTTCTGTCTTGCTCTATTCTTGAAGTGGAAGTTTTGGTTAATTTCCAGTTCTGCCTTAATTGGCTGTTTCCAACATTGGATACTACAGTAATACTCAAAACCAGAAACTCAGGAAGGCATACATTAAATGTGTCATACAAGAAAATAAAGTTTTTAATAAATTAAAACAAAAGCTAATTGGTATGGGAAAAACCCCAAAGCTTTGATAAAAAGACCTTTCATTCTTCACAGCACTTTGAACTATAGTTTTAAATGAAGCTTAAAGAGCTAAAAGGCTAGATAAAAAGTAAACCCTATGTTCTCCTTACAGATGCTAGATGATCGTGTCTCATATTATTTATGTGTGGACAGTTTGAAGCCTACTGATATCCTGGTTAGCTTTTCTGCATTAGTACACTGGGGAGATTCAGGAGGTAAGATCAGTACAAAGCAAAAAAGGAATGTTGATATAGATACTTTTAAGATTTCATCCAAAAGGAATTCAAAAGTAATGAAAACTCTATTAGAACAGACATTGGCAGTATGTAGATCTGGATCTATTGGGTTACTTGCAGTAGACAGGATTATTTATTTCTGATTGTTTTTACAATAGCATCAACAAATGTCTTCCCTCCCAACACTAAATTCTACTGCTGAAGTGAAGAAAGTTGGGAATAACCAGGAATAGATATTTGTGGGAAAAGACTATGAGCTGTATTTGTCTGTAGTGAAACTGAGTGTAAGTCACACACCCTCAACACACAATTTTGTTTTTTTTCTTGGCTCGGGATTGCTTAATTTTAAGTGAATGCTTTTATACCAGGCTCCAATTGATGGACATCAGGATTTTTGGAAGGAATTGAAGTAGATACTGAAAGCCTGATGTTTGCCTACCATTGCATTAATGCTGCAATATTTCTCTATTTTCTATATTTTGATACATAGTTTGTCCTTTATATGAAGAGTATTTGGGGGAAATCTTGTTCACAATTAAATGTTCTTAAGCTCAGAGCATTTGGTGAAACTATGCATGTTAATGGCTTACTATTGCAGCATTTATCTCCCACTCATCTAAGAACCAAGTCAATTGATTCAACCAACCATCACTTTATGTAATAATTCTAGAGAGATTCTATGTTTTGCCATGACTCACTCCTGAAAACCTGAGAGTTAGGTACTGTGTGGCCCTCCAAATATTTGGCCTGCAGTTCCCATTAGCCCTGGCCAGCATAGTCAGTGGTAAAGGATGATGGGAGGTACAGGTCATAGTATCCAGAAGGCCACAAGATATCCACAAGATGCCTTCAAGGGATATAATAGAATAAAGCTTATATTTGGCTCAAATGTTCTGAAAATAAACTGCCTTCTTCTAAAAGGTGTCATCTTGCAAGAACCCACTGTTTACTTTAGTATTATAACTAATGCTGTGTTACTGCGAAACTATATATTGACAGATTTATATGCTAAGATGACTTTCTCATTATTTATTTATTTATTTAGTAAACTTCTATGCCGCCCCATTCGCCAAAGCCTCGGGGCAGCTCACAGATATAAATAATTATCCTTTTTGGCTTTGTTTGTTGCCTCTTTTCTGCAAACTATCCAGAACACTTGTTTTCTAATGCCTATTTTCAATTCAGTTATATTAACTTTGAGCATATGACTGTGTAGGTGCCACATACTGTTCACTAAGGAAGAATATGTCCTTCCATGCCCCTGCTTCCAAGCTACCAAATTTTGCTCCTTGCATGATCATTCTGGTAGACTTAAACATAGAAACAGAATGAGTCAGAAGGATCTTCCCGGCCATCTAGTCTGACCCCCGGCTCCAGCCGGCTCGCTCACAACATGCCCACCATGTGCATGTCCAGCCTGTCTTTGAACACCCTCACTGATGGGGCCTCAACCACCTCCCATGGAAGCCCATTCCATACCCTCGGGGTCCTAACTGTCAGGAAGTGCTTCCTGGCATCTAAATGGAACTTTGGTTCCCTGAGCTTTGTTTCGTTGGAGCGCTTCCTGCCTTCCTCTGCTGGGGAAAACAGGTCTCTACCCACCTCCGTGTGACATCCCCTCACATACCTGTATGTCGCCAATAGATCCCCTCAGAGTCTCCTCTTTTCCAGGCTGAAGAGATCCAGTTCCCTCAATCTTGCCTCCTACGGCATCCCCTGCAAACTGGCTACCAGCCTTGTAGTCCTACGCTACACTGACTAACTTAGCTATATCCTTCCTGTAATGAGGGGCCCAAAACTGAGCACAATACTCCAGTTGCGGGCACACCAGAGTCGTGTTGAGTGGTAGTAATACCTCTCTTGATCTAGAAGCCACACTTCTGGCTATGCAACCAAGGGTGGCGTTTGCCCTCTTGAACACTGCATCACACTGCTGACTCATGTTTAGCCTGCAGTCAACCAGTACCCCGAGGTCCCTTTCTCAAGTGCTGCTCTCCAGCCACTTGTCACCTAACCTGTGCTTATGACACCCATTCCTATGCCCCAAGTGCAAGACTTTGAACTTATCCACATTGAACGCCATCCTGTTGTCTTCTGCCCACTTCCATAGTCTGTCCAGATCCTTTTGGATCTGGAGTTCCTGCTCCTCAGTTTTGGCCACTGCCCCAGTTTTGGCCACTGCCCCTTCTTCCATGTCTTTTATGAAAAGATTAAACAGGATCGGCCCCAGGACAGAGCCCTGGGGGACCCCACTTGTCACTGGTCGCCATCCCAGTGATTCCCCAGTAATGGTTACCCTCTGCTTTCAGTTAGTCAACCATGCCCTAATCCATCAGACAGTGCTTTGGTGTATCCCAAAACACCTCAGTTTCTCAACCAGGATATCATGGGGCACTTTGTCAAAGGCCTTGCTGAAATCCAGGTAAACCACATCCACTGCATCCCCTCCATCTAGCCATCTTGAAACCTTGTCGTAGAATTCCACAAGGTTTGTCTGGCAGGACCTGTTTTTGCGGAAGCCGTGTTGTGTGGCTGCCAGCCTCCCTCCCCTATCTAGCATCACTAGATCTCTCGCTATTATGAGCCTTCGCATTATTTTCCTACAATGGACGTAAGGCTAACTGCTCTGTAATTCCCCATGTTCCTTCTACTACGCTTTTTGAAAATTGGGACCACTGACGCCACCCTCCAGTCCTCTGGAACTTCACCCGTTCTCCATGAGGCCTCAAAAATGGAGGTCAGTGGGTGTGAGAGAACCCCTGCCAACTCTCTAAGTACGCTTGGGTGTAACCCATCAGATCTTAAACTGTTCAAAGCAAAAAGCCCCTGAAAAAAATGTGCTAGGCTGCAATTCTGTACTCATTTCCAGGGAGTAAGCCCCACAGAACTCAGTGGATGTGCTTCTGAGAAGAGATGTATAGAATTGCACTGTAAGTCTTTCTTATTACTGAGGAGACCAGGCTGGTGAACCTGGGAGAGTGCTTACAAATTATAACTCACAGTTGCTTCTGGCATCATGATCTATCTCTCTCTCTCTCTCTCTCTCTCTCATTCTCTTTGTCTTTATAATTTGCCAACTTATAGGATAATGTACTGGTATTTATCAGCTAATAATTATATTCCTTAATACTTCAAAGCAGCAAATTCTAGGCTACATCTTGGCATATATAAAGATAAATAGATTATCATTTAATCAGAAACATACATTATCTGTGCATTGTTTTTTATAGTTGTTGCACAAAAAGATGGCCATGTACCACCAAAGGGTTTACTCATTGTTGAAAGTTTCTCATGGAAGAATCTAGCTCCAGGACAAATAATCCTAAAGATCCATACATATGCCACTAAAGCAGCTGTGATAAGTCTTCCTGCTGGGTATGTGTCAGTTTGTTACACTGTTCCACCTCAGTGGTTTCAAAAAGAATAATATTTAGCATTGGTGTTCTAAAAAGCAACATTCTTTCTGGCTATAATTGATGCAATGCCAAACTAATGTACCGTATACATATATATTTGTGTTTTATGTATTTATGTGCCGTGTTCTGTAGGTCAAAATAAATTGAGTTAAAGCATTTTGAAATGTTCAGAACCTTTTACACACTGTTTTATAATTGTTACAACAACTCTAGTAAGGTAGATTGGTTATTTCCAAACTGCTGAGGAGAGTCATGCCAAGGCCAAAATAACTGCTGTGTCGTAGACTGTCTTATGGGTTCATGACAGAGATGAACTCTGGGCAAGAACTGATTCCCAGTATATTCTTTTACAGCTCAATCATACAGTATGTGTGTTTCCTCACAATTCCTACTATGTTCAGTAGAACAAACATCCTTTTATACCTAGGATTGCGGCCTCAGTCGCTGTTATGCATTTGCTCTCTATCTTAGTAGTAGTTATTCCACTCCTTAAGATAGGCTCAACTTATTATCCCCATCTTGTCAATAGAGAAAATGAGGCTGAAAAAGTAATGACTTACATAAGATTACCCAGTGAGTAGTTGACTGAAGTGACATTTCAGTCAAGGGCTTCCCATTTCACCCTCTTAGCTACTGCTCTAAACCATTAAGCATCTATATATACAGTTATAAATACTTCCTTTGCGAAATGAGCTATATTTGTCAGTAAATAGGTCAACTACCAGTAAGCCTTAGCACATCTGAACATATAGTATCTTTCAAGGTGTACAAACATCTGTGAGCCAGCCAATAGTTGTAAATAGTTGAAGGAACTTTTCTGTCTGTCAAGTGCTTTGAGATCTGAACAACTAACAAAGAAGAGAGTATTTGACTTGTGCTGAGTTTTTAGAATTGAGTTATTTGGCTGATTAGTGTGCTTATTTTTTAAATGTAGGCGCCATGTGTTACTCTTCACTGCAAGTTCTCCTATAGGGCACCATATCCATCTGTGTAGTATGGTGCCATGTGTGTTTGGTGAAGAGGATATTGTTCTGCCAAATCTTGAGAAGGTATTTGTTACCATAGCAATCAGACCTATTTTCCCATAGTTCACCACTAACTTTCAATAGTTCTAACACCTTTTTCTTACCACAGTGCTTGGATTTCAGAAATACTGCAGCAAAGTTTCCATGCTGCTATATTCTCCTAGACTCCTTTTTATATTACATATTATGATAATCATTGTTAAAGCACATACATACTCACCCACAGGATATAAGTATTGTCCCATGTATATTATTTTATATTAAAACAGAAAATGTGTAATTTCTTTGGACCTAGTAGAGGATTTTTATTAATGGTTAGATGTTGCAGTAATGTATCTGTAAAAAATCCAGTGGCACAGGCATTGTAAATTAGATTACTCTTTGCATTTTTAAACTGAAATATTCGCTTAATGGATTGGGCAGTTCCATTATTTTAGAAATATTCATGTTAATGAATTCATGTTAATTCATAAAATATTCATGTTTCTATGTTTTATAATTGATATTTGCTGCCTAGTTTTATGAGTGTTTATGTTTATATATATTGCTATAAACTGCCTTGTAATGTCTATGTGATTAAATAAGACCAAATTAGAACAAAATATTCAGGTATAGCTGAATCTTTGACTTTACTAGAATAAAGGCCCAGAGTATGGTCTGAATGCCCATAAGGCATCTACCATTTAAAAACTAACCAGGGCTGAAGCTGGTCTGAGCTTGGAGGGAAGACCATACAGGAACTGCAGGTAGCCACCTTGAGTTCCATCATGGGAAAAAAGTGTGCTATAAATCTAATAAATAAATAGAGCCACACAGCTCAGTGCAATAAAGCAAACTGCTTTTGAAAGACTTCAAGTTTCACAAGGAGCTTATCAGCTGAGTTGGTAGGTTGCTGCCTGAGAAAGTCACCCCGAATCTGGAAATTCTCAGGTGCGGATGGCAGTCACAGCATTCCAGAGAAGAGTTAACATGCTGGGAAACTGATTCCCCAAACCAGACACCTTCCAGGCATAGGCAATATTCAATGGGATCATTGTGCAAGTAGCCTCTTTTGGCAATTCTTTTTCACAAGCTGGACCCAACGTGGCAGCCCCAGAGTGAATGGAAATACTAGTTTATGGATTGGGACAGGTCAGCGGAGCTCTCTCATATGAACTCAGCTGGCTATTGCATTCCAAAAAGTGTTTCCATCAGTTTGCCATTGTTCCCAGCAGTGCTAAATCTCCATTGCAAGTGGCGGGTCTCACTTTCAAGGTGAAAATTGGCAGGGTGCAATCAAATCAGTAGGAATGCTACACCCTGTAGGCTACTGCTCCATGAATTACATTTGTTTTTTCAGATAAAATAACGAATTCAGATTATCTTGATAATTTGAAAAGCAGGTTCACTTGAGAGCAGTGAACAAAATAGCAGGTTCACTTGAGAGAAGATAGTATAATACAGCTTCCACATGGCTTGAAGTGTCTGATTCTGCCTAATCATGGGATCTAAGCAAGGTCAGGCCTAGCTAAAATCTGCATTGGGTGACTTAAATGTTGTGAAGTGCCCAGGAGCTTTGGCTATGGGTGGTATAACAATCTAATGCAATGATGCTGATGACGACAATGATGCTGACTCTGAGAAACCAAAAGAATGGACCCTCTGCCATGGGTTTTAGTTCCCAGTCAGTCATGGAACTGGGTAACTTTGGGCCAATCATGTACCCTCAGCTTAACCAACCTCATAGGACTGTTGTAAAATGGAAGGAGGAGAACATTATAAGTGGTATTGAGTTCCTTATAAGAGGAAGAAAGGTGGAATATAAACATAATGCAATAATAATAATATATCTGAGTCATAGCAGTATATTGTCATAAGGTACAACAGTAGATATTAATTAGCTCCACCCCCTTAGCTACCATCCTGCATCTGGCTCCATTGGTGGAACTAAGGGTTCTAACAAAAAACAAAGTAGATCTTGCAAGCCCACATCACCTCTAACATATCAGGATCAGAGCAGATGTAAAATATGGAGTAGGGAGTAAGAAGGAGAGAAGTGGCTGCCATCTGAAATCAGTGAAGCAATGCAAATCACTATTTATGGTGGGGGTTCCTGTGAGAAAATTAAGTCTATAGTCTAAAGTACATAGCAACTGTACTTCTAATGGGAAAGCAGATCCATAAATCTCATGCAATTTCATTTTAAAATAAGAGGAAGGCATTATCTTCATGGTAGAACAACACTAAGAGAGAAAATTATTCATGCAAACTGCAACAGGGTTTTGAAATATGGTTGCTGCCCTCCTTAATGCTATTGGTCAAAAGCATTTAATTAATTAAATAATTAAGGCTATTGGTCAACCGAGGATCTGTAATTCATATCTCAATAAACTCAACAAGTGACTTTTTGCAGGATTTTCTTTCCAGTGGAATTGTTGACAAAATGAGCAAATGAATGCATGCATAGAATATAGCTCAACTCATACAGCCTTTCATTAACTTCATCCTGTGCAAATACCTTGGGCTCCTTTACATGCAAGCAATTATGCATGATTTTAGAGCAGGAATCAGTAATTCCATTTTAGCATTGCAGAAATTCCTAATGGATTTTATTTAAAATATATATGCTGTTGGAGTATTAATACACTTCAAATAGTTCTGTCTAATGATAGTTCCTGAATTTTCTCCCCAGGAGAGTTACCGGTTTATGGAGCAAGCTGCTGCTATCATGAAAGCTATTGGAACTGTGCTAATTAATTTCGGGCAGGCAGAAAACCTTCCTAAAGCCATGAGGGCTCTGGAATTAACACACTGCCCTCCCAGCCTCTGTGGCACAGGAATAGCTAGAGAACACTTCAAGGTGAAAAACAAGTACTCAGGCTTTTAGTTAAATTGTGGAATACTTTGTATGTGCTTTCCAAATGCTTTCCCCCCGCACTCTCCTTTTTTGTAATGAAGCCATTAGCTGAATTTCCTGGTTGCCGAAATTCACAATTTGAAAATAAATATAATGCCATACAGAGATAACTTAAAATGCCTAGATGTTACTCGGTGTCAGCAAAAAGTCCAAACCTATCTCCTGTTAAGATGAATTAATAGAGTTGGATTATACTGGACAACTTGACTATACTGGTTTCTATGTTCTGGCTGCTTAGTGACAGATCAACATACAATTAGATGCTTGGACTCCAAAGATTCAGCTCAGCCCCACTCTGGCCTCCTGCAGCTGAGATTAAACAAAAACGCCAAAAACAAAAACACCATGCCAGCAGTTTCTCTTGGGTGCAGTTGGGCCTTGGAGGGGACAAAAGGGATGTGCTGGGAGATGGAGAGGAGATAAGTCTGTGGCATCATTTTGCATCAATTCCTATTAGCACTCCAGCCTCCTTCCTTTCCCACCCCCAGCTCTTAGTCCATTGTTGTTGTTACATGCCATCAAGTTGTCTCCAACATATGGTGACTTTATGAACGGATGCCTTGCAAATGTGGAAAGCAAAATAATGGCACACAGACTGGAAATGTTCAATACGCATCTCAGTCCTCAAGAAAGGAGATGCAAAATAATGCAGCAATGATAGGACCATTATGATAATTTTCCATGCAAGTAAAGTGATGTTCAAGGTGTTGCAACACAGAATTCTGAAAGGAGAAATGGATTACAAAAAGGAAGAGGTACTTGAGAGCATACTGCAAATATATGTCGGCTATTGGAGTGCACCCAAAGAGTTTGAGAAGAAGATAAGTCTGCGCTTTATAGACTACACAGCATTTGGCTTCATGGATCATGAGGAGCTATAGATGGTCCTGAAAGAAATGGGTGAGCCTCTTGATTGTCTTTATGAGTAACCTGTGTCATGGACAAGGAGCTACTGTTAAGACAGTTATGGAAAACCAGAATGGTTTCCTATTGAAAAAGGCATCAGAGAAGATGTGCATTATCTCCCTATTTGTTCAATATGCAGTTCATAAGAAAAACTGAATTAGAACAATGGAGCTGGAATAATAAAGAATAACACATTTAATAGCTGCAGTGAGACTAATTATAGCTAAGAATTAGAAAATAAAATAGGATTACCACTTGTCTGATTGGTATAGTGGAGTTTGGAAACTAGCTAGTAACAATAAAGTAATATGTGAAATTAAAGTGACAAAAGGGCATATGAAGAAAAAATAGTTTAATGAGATTTGGGGTATTTATGAGTATGTTTTAAAGAAAGGGAAAGGATTAGTACCGCCAAAAGAATCATTACAGTTTTGGAAGGGGAAAATGTCCTGAAATGTTTTTAAGGGTTTTTAAAATTGTGACTTGTATCCTTGGTCCTGGTGGTGAGGAACACAGTAGTTATTTTGGCAATTATTTTTATTGTACATCCATTTTTATTTTTGTATTTTAAATGTTGTGTTAATTTGATTGCATCTTAGACTGGAAATTTATAAAAATATTTTTAGAAGGAAAACTTAATTAGAATCAGAGGAAGAAGGAATACAAATTGGCAGAAGATACATCCATTATGGTCATATTATTGGTAGAAAGCAGCAATGAATTAAAGTGACTCCTGATGAAAGTGAAAGAAGAAAGTACAAAATAGCTGAACATTAAGAAAACAAAATTCACAAGTACAGAATTGCACAATTCAATGTCTACAATGAAGAAACTGAAGGTGTGAAAGATTTTGCACAACCTGGCTCAATCATCCAATTCAGAATATAGACTACAGCCAAGAAAGTAGAGGAAGACTGAGGTTTGGAAGGAAGGGCATTTATGAAGAGACTAGAAAAGTTCCTCAAATGTAAAGACACCTCATTGGAGACTAAGGGCAGGTTCATCCACACTGTTGTAATATCAGTCACTATGTACTGATGTGAAAACTGGACATGAAGAAAGCTACCAGGAAAAAAATGGTGTGTTCAGAACATGGTGCTTTGCCAATATAGCCTAGACCATTGATGGCGAACCTTTAAGAGACTGAGTGCCCAAACTGCAACCCAAAACCCACTTATTTGTCGCAAAGTGCCAACACTGCAATAAAACCTGAATACTAAGGTTTTAGTTTAGAAAAAACAGCCAGTCTAGAGGGTCATTCATTCATAGGGTTTCCATAAGTTGGAGACAACTTGGCAGCATGTAACAACAACAAATATATAGGTGTGTATCTGATACTGTGAGACACTGAACAAATAAGGTGGCTATTTTGAAATATTTTATTATTATTTTTTATTAAAACATTTTTATGCCGCCCCATTCGCCGAAGCCTCGGGGCGGCTCACATCAATAAATAAATTAATAAATAAAGTGATAGCAAAAGGAAGTTCTATTTAGTGTGTGTGATATGTTTTATTATTCATATTCACCCACTCAGTCTAATGCTCAAATATATTGGGCTTCTCTACAATAGTGCATTTGTGATCCCTCAGTCACCAAAGTTTCTGGGTCCATTTCACAAAGATATAATCCTTTAGGGTCTCCCCCTTGTTTTCGAGACATTTTCATGGCGTTTTTTTTTTTTTTAAGAGAAAACAGACTCCATTATTAAATTTTCAAACACACAACAAGCCAGATTGAAGGTCTCATGTATTGTCACAATTCCACTGTGGTGGAGCTATACCACAGTGCAAGCTTATGGTTGGATAATGGAAAAGATAGAAGGAGAAAGACAAAAAGAAATCCAGAAAAGAAATCCCTATATAAAAGATACTCTCTTCCCTCCATAAAGAAAATGGAAGAAGCTTCACTAAAACAGCAAGTTAAATGTCTCATGTAGATAGGCTGGGGTTCTTTGGCTATGTTATGATAAGTAGAAAATATACAGTGATTCATGTTGAACTATTTGCTGATCATTTCTCTTTTATATTTAGGCTTTTAATAATGCTTTTTGGCATTTGATGAAACAAATATTAGGGAATATTCCTCCCCACTATGAATTTGCTTACCGAAGTTTCACTCTGGATTTTAAGCATAGTGATGTGTCAGCTGAAGATACAGAATCTTCAGGTAATATATGAAAAACTTAATGAATTCATTGGTAATATTTGTCTTATTGTATTTTATTGATAATATAGGATTAAGGAAAAAAATCAGCTGAATGTTGTAAAATCCAGCCTTCCAAAATACCATAAGCCAGAGATATAATGATCAGGTAACCAATCCTTCATAAATTTGATGCCCTCCTTTTTTGTACTTCATACAGTAGTGCTAACATGATGTGGGTAATTTAATTTTGTATCAAATTAAGTTTATGCTGTCGCAGTTGATTTCATATCTATACCACCCCACAGTTGAAGCTCTACAGATGGTTCACATCAATTCATAATACAAGTATAATGACAACAATGGGCAATAATAAAATATAAATACAATAAAATGCACCATAAGATTCCATTGCATGACATTTAAAATAGTTTAAACAATCAAAACAATTTCAATAAAAAGTAAGTATGTTAAAAAAGCAAATGTGTCCCTTCTTATACCATTATATAGGAGCAGTAGAGTGTCTTAACCTGGGACTGAAAAAATCACAGTGCTGGTGCCAGGCACGTCTCAGTGGCGAGATCATTCTATAATCCAATAAACCCGAGTGTCCATGTGTGATGCTTGCAATTTGTCATTCTTTGACTACAACTTCTATTACTGAGTTTCAAGCAATTTCCCCAGCATCATGGAGATGGGAATGAAGAAATGCTGTGCAAATTAGGAAGCATAGCCCTGGATCTGTGCAATCTGGATTTTCATAGGTGAAATGGTGAAGCAGAATCGCTCCTAAAAAATAAATAATGTCATAGTTATCTTGCCATAGACATTGTTGAGAATATTAGTGGTCCCTCCTCACAATATTATTTATTTACTTATTTAACCACTTTTTATACCCTTTAGAGTTATCTAATTTCTCAGAATGGTTTACAACAAAACAAATTACAATATAACAGTACAACAATTTAAAATGCATATAGTTATGCAGTAAATAATCACAACAAAATAGAATCAATACAAATAAAATCCATCCACAGAGGCCCTTCCACTCTTGCCTGTAAACATCTTAGACCCGCTCCTACCACCACAGTGCCTACAAGAAATGTTGTGGTATTCTTACTATAATTTAAAAAACCAGACTAAATAAGCAAACAAAAATCACAATAAACAAATAAAATCAATAAAACAATGTAATTTTGATGATGATGATGATGATGATGCTCAAATATTATGACTAGAACCTGCAGAACATGATAGAGGCATGATTAGTAGTAAAGATAAGAATAAGAATTAATTGTGACATTTTCAGTGCAGAAGACATAGAATAATCCTCCATGGAAGTTAATTCAGATCTTAACGATAGTAGAATATTTCACAATTTTTCTTGTTTTTATTAAACTCCAATTATTCCACTACCACCACCACCACCACCACCATCTTCCACCATTTTCCTTCCAAGGAACTCAAAAAGGCTTAGATAATTCTGCTCCTCCTCCTCTCAGTCTTATCTTCACAACAAAAACCCAGTGAACTCCATAGCTGAGTAGGGGCTAGAACCCAGATCTCCTGAGTCCCAGTCCCACACTCTTAACCACTATACCATACTGGCTCTCAATGTCATTATTCAAGTGCTTGACAAGACTGAAAGGAATACGCACACACGCACTCCTGAACTGTAATTGGATTTCAACTTTAATTAGTTCTTGACACAAAGGAATGGCACATCACTTACCCAAACTTGCAAGACATGAGTCTAGCACTCAATAAAAAATGAAACTTCATGAACATTCAAGTTTGCATTTTATGTTCACAAACTGTTAAGTGTGAATACTTTATAGTTGATGCAGTTCACAAGAATGTAGAACAATTTAAAAGATAAAATATAATTTTCTGTAACAGAGTAAAAAAATACTGCTCCAACCCAAGTCATTTCTTTTGACAAACCTGCATCAGTGTGCAGTTAACTTTTGTACTGATCTGTTTTTTCAGAGCTGGCAGATATGAATGCTGTTCTTTGGCAGAACAAAGACCCCACACCTGAGGAAGAAGCAGCTGCTGTTAAACTTCAGGCTGCCTGGAGGGGGACTTATGTCAGGCTATTAATGAATGGCAGAAAACCAGGTCAGGATTCTGCACCTATCTCTGCTAACTGTCTGTTCTTAAAGTAGATGGGGCCATTCCAATGATTTGACTGATGTTAATTTTTAGCAATTCTGCATGCACTTGGAGCTGAGAACTCAATTTGAAAATTAAGAAGGGGATAATTTTCAGAGAAATGCTGTGCTTAAGGGCGGCTTGTGCACTTACCTTAATAATCAAAGTTACAGGGAGTCTAGTATTTTGGGTACTCTTGGTCTGAACCTTAAAACATGGCATATTTCTTAGCCATTTTTAAATTTAATTTTTTTAAAGGGACTGAACACCTTGGAGCAGGGGTGCTAAACCTCAGGCCTCTGGAGGTTTAACTGTCTTTCTTGGGATCACTGTCCTGCCCTCCTGGTTTCCCAAGATGGCCATGTCCCCAGAAAGTTCTGCTCTTCCAGTCACATCCCCATTTCTGGGAAAGCGCTCTTTTTCAAAAATCCTAAAATGCTAAAATAATATACATGGATAACACAAAGGATACACGCAGGACACAAAAGCAAGGTTTATCAATGGCCTGGCCACTTGAAAGGCATGATCACCAGTACAAGGATGGGACTGGACTGATATGCATGTGCATGCACAGAGAAGTTCATATATTTGAAAGCCCAACTTAGAATCTTGAATTACTCACAAAATGCCACAGACAGTAACTTATTTATTTATTTAAAACTTCTGTATACCATCCCATCACTGACGTCTCAGTACGGTTCACAATAACAACAGTAAAATAAGATAAAAATATAAAAGTAGCACAGCATCCAATAAATAGAAAACCTCAGATGAAAACACTTAGCAATTTAAATAGTAGGAAAATGAAAAGATTTCCACCTGCCACCAAAAAGATAAAAGTGTTGGCGCCAGGGGAAGCTCTCTGGGAAGTATGTTCCGCAGTCAGGGCGCCACCACAGGGAAGGCCCTCCTTTGGGTAGCTACCCTCCTAATCTCTTTCAAGGAGGGCTCCCAAAGAAGGACCTCTGCCTCAGATCTTAAGGGGCAGGAGGGCACAAAGGGAAGAAGGCGCTCCTTCAGGTATCCAGGACCCAAGCCATTTAGGGCTTTACAGGTCATCACCAGCACCTTAAATTGGGCCCAGACTTCAACTGGTAGCCAGGTAACTTCTGACTATATGGCTGTTACACCAAAGAGTTTTTATGTTACATAGGGGTGTATTTAAAACATAATTGTGTACAGATGGTCTCAGGTTGTGTTTCACATGGTTAGTCTATTCATAAAAGAGGTGCGGTGGTACAGCTGCTTAATGACACTGGAGGTACTGACCAGCTGTTCACGCCCAGCACTGCATGACATGACAGAGTGAGCCCCTGTCATTCACCTCTAGCTTCTACCCACCCAGCAGTTTAAAAGCAAGTAAAACTGTGAGTAGATAAATGGGTACCATTCCGGGGGGAGAGCTAGCTGCATTCATGAAGAGAGTGGGTGCTAGTGCTGGACCTGCACTGACACGAGGCAAGGCACGATTGGTAGAAGAAGACTGGATGAGCCAACAACCCGAACACAAGCTGGATTGCTTGTGTGTGGAACTAGTTCACCCCCTGCGGTACACACTGGATAAGCACATGAGCACAGTCAGAATGAACTAGCAATTGCGGGGAGCCAAATATCTACTCTGTGTTAGCACTGTAGACTCCTGCCTGATTGATCCAATGCCATACACTAAATAAATAAATTTATTCATATAAATATGTTTTCACCCCTCTTTAAATAATATATGTCACACTATATAAATATCAACATACAAACATGTTCAGAGCAATATTCAAATACCATGTTTCTTTTTTAAAAAATGTTTGGGAATGATGAGTTTATTACATACTTAATGACCTCATTTTCCATTAATTTTTAGGTACCAAGGAGAATGCCAAAGTCAAAGATACACTCCAGAAGTTATGGGCTCTAATTGAACCAAATTTTGAACAGTGTTCCTTAATGTTATTAAGGTAATATGCTCCACAGTTTCTGTAATATGCAAGTATATCAAGCCCCTATTTTGCCTCAGAAAAGCATGCTTTCTTCCTGTTTCCTTTTGGAACTATTGATCTGCATTTCTGAATGCTCTGTGGAGTAAACTTTGGTGAGTCAGATTTGGTCCATGGCCCAGGGTCATTGTTCTGATTACTTTTGATAAAAAGCACATGGCTACTTATTGAGTCAAAATGGTAGCTTTATTTCTGGAGGCTGAGGCCACCTACCAATGCCAGTTCTTACTGTTCCCCAGCTTCCTTCCTTCCTCCTCTTTGGCACTATTTACATTGCAAAAACCAACTGTCTTGAAAAATGCATGGGGCACAGTGCATTGGTTCATGGAGTATGCTGCCACTGTGTCTTGCTCTAGCCATAGGATGCATGGAAATGCCATTGGAGGCTTATGAGCATCTAGGGTGGGTGATTGTGCCCTAAGTCTCTGTAGCAGCTTGCCACTGGAATTTGGCAGTGAGCTCCATTTTTTTTTTTTTTTGCTGCTGCTACACTGCCCCATTCAGTGGCACAGCGGCACAAGTGCAGCCCATAGAGGGACTGTAATGGGGTAGAAAGTGGCTTCAGGACCTCCTAAATATGCCAGCCCCTGGTTTAAATCAATGTACCATGCTATGGATGTTATATTATGAATAATATTTTGATGTATGCCCTGATTGGAAAATGGACTGACATCTGAGCCTCATTCACACGGAAGTTTAAAAGAGACCAGTCTACTGCCCCAAATAAATGAGACTTGAGGGAATGGATCCACAAATGATGGACTGTATGAGGTAAACTAATTGGGTAGAAGTGGCTCTCTTCAAAGTTGTTTTTGCTAATGATGCCCACTGCTCTACATTTGTCGGGGAAATAAATTTCATAGACAAAACTTCATGAACAGAGCCTAGTGATCATCTCTTTTACACTTTTGTTACCTTTCAAGGCCAAGCTGGAAGTGATATAACAATATGCAAATACATCTGGTGTTGTCTTCCTTTATCTACAAAAATAGCCATGAAAAAGGGGGTCTAAACTGGGATCAGGTAGTCAATCAACCTCCTCAGTAGGGAACATATATTAGCTGCAGACAGGAAAACATATAAGTGCCATATGAGTTTTGCCCTCAAAAATACTTTTCTCATTCACTTCTGAGAGCAGCTGAGAGGGGTAAATTGGATTGGGGCCACAGAACATGGTGAAAAGTTCAAATTCCCCTCCACAGTTGCCAAGGCCCACATCCAAATATAGCCCCCGCAGCTCTTTAATTGGCGTGAGGAAACAGAGTGGGAGATTTATTTTTTATGGCATTACATTTCTAGCTCATGTTTTTCCCCTTGTGAGAAACTTAAGGCAGTTTATAGTTCACTTCCTTGCCATTTTATCTTAACAACAACAAACCTGTGAAGTAGGTTAGACCAAGAGTCAGTGACTGGCCCAAGGTCAGTGAGTTTCATGGCAGAGTGAGGACTAGAACCCAGGTCTCCTGAATCCCAAGTCCAGCACTCTAACTAGCATATCACATAGGCTTTCTTTATTTATGCATCTCTCATTTCACATCTAGTATCACCCTTAATAGTCCATCTAGTTTGGACCACATCTAGTCTGGCTTCATTTCAAGTCACTATAGACATGATAACAGCAGAACTGGATCTTTAAATATTAGTCTGCCTCAAGTAGTTTAAGGAGATGGTCTGATTTTTAAGATTAGAGGATTGATTTTAGGTTGTTTTGAGGTAAGATTATCTATGGATCTATCAGAATGTTATTTCTGCTCGGAAAACATGCAAGTGTTTCCCAAACAGAAGTATAAGCCAGAGAACACATTCTATGAAAATATTTGCAAATTCTCAAACATTCACTCACATGCAAAAAATCTTGATAGCAAATTGAGAAGTGAGAAGCAGGAAACCAATGTTTAGAGAATATGGATAAGCAATAACATCCCTTGATTGAACAATACCTGTTTGTTTGTTTGTTTGTTTACTTATTGGATTTACACCCTACTTTCTTCTTATGAACCCAAAGCAGCTTATCCATTCTCCTGCTGCTGCTCCCAGTCTTATCCCCCACAACAACAAGCCTGTGAGGCAGGTGGGGCTGATGACAACCTTAGAAGTATTTATAATTACCTCAACTGATACTTTAAAGTTTGCTGTTCTTATCTTATACAGAGATATATTTAAAAGCAACTGTAAGTCAGTTGAAAAATATCATTGTTATGAAGATGAATGGACTAAGACATCTTTTGCTGATTATACAGTAACATATGGGGAACAGCCATCAAATTTTTGGTTTGTGGTCTTCAGGTGAGTTTCTTGAACAATCTGTCATGATAATTCATTACTTAATCTTTTTGTTAATTCTTTTCATGACTCATATCCCTGTATCCATACGTTAAAGCACACACACCTGAATTGCGGGCGATGAAGCAGGTTGGGAGACGGCTAGAGCGTAGGTGGAGGAAATCACGGGATGAATCTGACCGAACACACTTGAGAGCCCACTATCGGGCCTATGCTGTGGCGGTGAAGGCGGCGAAAAAGAAATTTTTTTCCGCTTCCATTGCCTCTTCACAATGCCGTCCGGCAGAGCTTTTTCGAGTGGTGCAAGGCCTGGTTCGCCCGGGTCCTAAGGAAGATCTGGTTCCACCCTCAAAGGCCCGCTGTGACGACTTTGCCAGGCATTTCAGGGAGAAAATCGCTCAGATTCGTCACGAGCTGGACTCCACTAATGAATCAGAGGTTTCTGGGGAGACGCCAATGCTGCCGTCTGGTCCAGAATTATTGGATGAATTTCAGTTATTGCGGCCCGATGATGTGGACATGGTGCTTGGACGAGTACGTCCCACCACTTGCCTATTGGACCCTTGCCCGTCTTGGTTAATAAATAATTCCAAGCACAGGATTGGGACCTGGATCTTGGAAGTGGTTAACGCTTCTCTGAGGGAGGGTCGGGTGCCTGCCCCTTTAAAGGAGGCGGTAGTCCGACCGGTCCTGAAGAAGGCGTCACTGGATCCAGAGATGGCCACTAACTATAGACCAATGGCCAACATCCTGTTTCTGGGCAAGGTGTTGGAGCGGGTGGTGGCGGGACAACTCCAAACACTCTTGGATGAAACTGATTATCTGGACCCATTTCAGTCCGGCTTCAGACCCGGGTACGGTACTGAATCTGCCTTGGTCGCCCTGTACGATGACCTGTGCAGGGAGAAGGACAGGGGGAGTGCGTCCCTGTTGGTTCTCCTGGACCTCTCAGCGGCTTTCAATGCCATCGACCATGGTATCATTCTGGATAGGCTAGCGGGATTGGGGGTCGGAGGCAGTGCTTTGCAGTGGTTCCGCTCCTATCTCAATGGCCGATTCCAGAAGGTGGTGCTGGGGGACTATGGCTCTGCGCCATGGCAGCTATGCCATGGAGTTCCACAGGGCTCCATTTTGTCCCCTTTGCTGTTTAACATCGATATGAAACCGCTGGGAGAGGTCATCAGGAGGTGTGGGCTACGGAATCATCAGTACGCTGATGATTCCCAGCTCTCCGTCTCATTTTCCACTGATCCAGGTGAGGCAGTGGCTGTGCTGAGCTGGTGCTTGGCCGAGGTAATGGGCTGGATGAGAGCCAATAAACTGAAGCTCAATCCAGACAAGACGGAGGTCCTGTTGGTTGGCGGATCGGGCTTCGGAGAGGGTGGATTTGACCTGGCCCTGAATGGGGTTGCACTCCCACTTAGGGACAAGGTCCGCAGCTTAGGAGTACTCCTCGACCCAGAGCTTTCATTGGAAGCTCAGGTGACAACGATGGCGAGGAGCGCTTTCCTTCAGCTTCGGCTGATTAATCAGCTGCGCCCCTACCTGGAGTACGACTGCCAGGCGACAGTGACACATGCGCTGGTGACTTCCCACCTTGACTTCTGTAATGCACTTTACGTGGGGCTTCCCTTGAAGATGGTCCGGACACTTCAATTGGTTCATAATAGAGCTGCCAGGTTGCTGATGGGGACGGGGCGTTATGTTCACATGACTCCAGTCCTCCGACAGCTTCACTGGCTTCCCATTGAAGTCCAGGCCCAATTCAAGGTGTTGGTTATGACCTATAAAGCCCTAAACGGCTTGGGACCTGGTTACCTGAAGGAGCGCTTACATCCATATATGCCCGACCGCCCCTTGATATCTGCGGGAGAGGCCCTTCTCCGGGAACCCTCCGTGAAAGAAATTAGGAGGGTAGGTACTCGGAGGAAGGCTTTCTCTGTGGTGGCGCCCAATCTATGGAATATGCTCCCCAGAGAGGTCCGCCTGGCGCCGTCGTTATTTGTTTTTCGGCGCCAGGTGAAGACATTTTTATTTAAACGTCATTTTAATTGTTAACAATATTTACTTATTTATTTGGCCAGGGCGACTTCTTTTCTTTTCTTTTATAACTTTTCTAACTCCTTTTATATCGTTTATATTTTTTATTTATTTTTTATTATATATTTTAATTTTATATTGTTATTTTTGTATTGTATTTTATTGTGTTGTAAGCCGCCCCAAGGCTTCGGCAAGGGGTGGCATAGAAATGTTCTAATAATAATAATAATAATAATAATAATAATGTGCTCCCTTAAAAAAATAAACATGTTTGATCCAGGTCTCCTTTTTCTCAGATTGCTTTTATTTTACTTCAACACACACTGCACAAATATGAAATAGTGGGCCTTTCTGGAAGGTCATAAACTAATCAAGAATTGAGGTATTGGGAAAAAAGAAATGTATTATTAACGTCTTTTCCAGCCACTCAGATCCTGAAAAGTAAAGCTATCCATAACTGAAAGTTACTGCTATTAGACATGGACATTCATCAACCCATTTTTTTAAAGGGACACTTGAAGAATTTGATCTTTGTGAGTGTCTATATAAAATAACCTGAACTGCACCCCTTGAAGTAATATGGAAATCAGAACTTTGCTACCCAGTGGATTTTCCACTTCCCTGAATGTTGTGATGCAATTCATGACCATTTAAATGTGTAAAATATTCCTTTAAACAGATATTTTGAAAGGGTTTTTTTTTAAAGATTGCAGCTTAATTTGGAATACAGTTCTGGGTAAACATGCAAAACTGTCATGGATCAGATTTAGACAAATTGATTAATTTCTCCTTTATAACATGTTTACTCTTTATGCTTTATTTGGCGTTCCTTTATTTATGTCTGGCAAGAATTTTCAGAAGTTTAATGTTTCATTGCATAAAATTTTATGGAGTCCCATGCCACCATGAATATCCTTAAGAAAGATGCATTATTCAATTGAACAGGGAATATATGACTTCCCTTATTTTTCCTTATATCATTGCACTTACCTGTTGACTTGTATTAGATGTTGGTCTTTTCCACTTAGAGTAGCTTCCTCTTCCTTGTCAGATCTGGACTCTTCATGTTGGGATCCTCGTCCCAAATGGATCACATTGAATTCCACTATACCAAAACAGACAGTATTCTTCTTGCAGTTACAGCAGTTAGAAAGGTGTTGCACATATTTTCATGGCAATTGGAAGGTGACTTATTTTATATGTAAAATTAATTTCTGTGGGGAAATCTGGACTTGAGGATTGGCAAGAAAATATTTGTTTGGTAGACCTGGACAGACAGACTGATTTTAACTTTGAATCAGCTTCATGGTCCTAATGACAACTTTCTGCCATTTTCTATTTTGCATGTTACTTATAAATTGTCAACTGTGGCTATATGGCAATATATGCAATTGAAACTTTTGTTAGTATCTAGGTTTGGCTCTGCTGCTTTTACAGCTTCAGAACTGATATTGGAAGCACTGATTGAGGCTGAATAGCTACATCAGCCCACAATTTATGTTTATTAACAGCAACTAAATATGAACAAGAGTGGAATAATGAACTGGGGCACCCCTTTTGGCCAATCTAAGGAGTGCTGCATTGTTATCCTTTTCAGAGGGGATAATGCCTCTTAGATTACATTTAATACTCGATGTCACAAAATCTTTTTGATAGGGTGTAACCAAATTGACCAATGGTTAGAGGTGCTATGTAGCTAATACTTCTCTTATTCATATATTTGGCAATGTCTGATGGCAGCATCCTTTCAGGATAGGTAATAATTTTTATTTTCTTTTTTTGGTTCTGGTTCTGAAGAAAAGTTCTTTAATATTCAGTGACATACATGCCTTTCTTACCCACCCTTCTCTTGGACTGTAAGCAAGGTCAGTGCAAATGGATTTTCTGTGCCCTTGTGACAGCTAAAAAACTATTACTACAACATTGGAAGGATAAACAGCCACACAATAGGCAGTAACACAATAGGTGGAAGACTTAACAAAACTCTCAGTTTTTGAATGGGTGGTCTTTAGGTGCAATTTATGAATGGACACACACACACACACACACACACACACACACACATAATGGGCCTGTTTTGCTGTATATGTATAATTATCTTAACAGTACTCTGTCTTGCTACATACAAATACATAGGGATATATAACATATGCATTTAATGTTATTGATTTCTTTAATTGATTTGTATAAGAAAGCTATAATATTTTACCTTATTTTTTTCTTTCTTTTAAAAAAAGAAAGAAAAAATGCCCCATAGGAATACATAGAGAAAATGTTTATCCCTTCCTTTTCCCTTTTATTGTAGGGAAGTATTTTATGTCCCAGAAGACATGTTCATAGTTCCAAAAGTTTATTCAGCAATACCTACCTGTGTACTTCATGTTGTAGACAATGACACTTTGGAAGAAATGCCTCGAGTCTTTCTTAGGGTTGCACCACATCTTTATACAAAAAATAAGGTAAGAAACATAATATGAAACATAAATGAAATAGTAGTAATTAGAGTAGTATCTATTATTATTTCAAGCTTTTATAGAGCATCATAAAAGCCATATGGCTCTCTGGATGGTTTACAGAAATTAAAAGATAATCAAACAAAACAAAAAAGCAGCAACATTAACTAAGTCAATAAATAAAACATCACTTCTGATAAATAAAACATCCATTCCATCAGCAGGAACACCAACTGTGTTGACCTCATAGAATGGCCAGATTGGACAGCATCTTATAATTAAATAATTAAAATTTTAAAATTTGTAAATGAAAATACTGACCTAAAATTAGAATTAAAAACATCAACAGTATTAGTATTATGTTGTTCTATAAGTAAAGGCACTTACCTATAGGTTTCAGTGATTTACAGAATACCAAAACTGTTAGAGTGCCATTACAACAAATATAAATCTTAATAGTCTGAAGATTAGACAAATCCAATACAGATATTGGTCCGTGATGCTGTATATAGATACTATAGAGCAGCCTCCCACAACCTGTTGCCAAATTTTTGAACTCTCTTGCACAGCATTCCCAGCCTGTATTGATTTATTTATTACACTTATACCCTGTCCTATTGCTTTAAGTGCTCAGGGCTGCTTACAAAGTATATAAAAATACAATAAATATAAAACTACTATAAAAACATTGATTATTAAAACAATATAAAACACATCACTATAGCATGCTGGCTGGGACTGATGAGTAAAGTCCAAAACATTTCAGATGACACTAGGGTAGAAACAGCTGATATAGAAAGCATACCACTTATTTTATGGAAAATGAGCCTACAAAAATGACAATCAATGAGAGCACAAGGAATTTAAAATGAACCTTAATTTGTTAGAGTGAGAGCCAATAAGAATAAATACAATCAGTAGAGTTTCTAATAATGGTTATACAACCAGAAGGTTTGTGAAGCTTGTCCGAAGCTGCTGCTAAGGGCAAATTGTTTGGGTAAAAGTGTTTCTTTTTATGGAAGTGAAATCAAAGCAAGAATGTCACTCCTTATATTTGAATTTAAGCTTTGGACCTTTGTGAGGCCCAAGGTTCAGGGCTGAAAGTACTGAGCTTACAAACACATGTGCAAAAGTTAAAATCTGCAGTACAAATATAACAGCATGAGTATAACTTCTGCACATTCTTTATGTGAATATTGAATTAATTTTACTTATATATGATTGTGGGGAATATGCATTATAAACTATGTTGGCTAAAGGAGACAGCAGGTACAAGTACAAGGGGTACAAGATAACAGTTTATGGTTGGCCATGGTTGGAACAAAATGTACAACCTGAAGTTAGATCAAAATAACAATCTTGCTATTGCATAACTATATTATTTTATTAATACCATCGAATAACCAAAGTAATCTGACTAAAGAATGAAAATCTTATCAATGCTATTATTATGCTGAAGTTACAGGAACTACTCACAACAGTTTTCAAGATGGCACCCAATGTCTGTAACAAATAGGATTTGCTTTGTTAAAAATGTTTCCCAAACAGTATATTTGGGAAATTAAATCTTAACTACTGTATGGCCATAACAGAATACATATTATATGAGTCTTAGTAGCAGTTATAATATTTGTTTTCTATTTATCTTTATTTATTGTATATAAAAACCTCATTTTGGTTACACTAATTTCTGGGAAAAAACCTTTTTTATTTCAGAAAGGATATACTTTTATGGCTGAAGTTCAAACTGGTGAATCACCTATGATGGCTGGGAAGTGGAGGCTTCGGCTCATAGGTTCCTATAATCCACTTCCAGTTCTTTCTCGTGAGAATGTAAACAATTTATATTCCATTAAAGAAGTTAAAGACTATTATGTGCCAAATGATAAGCATATTATATTCAGGTAAAGTTGGAAAAATAGCCAAGATGTTTCCATTTGTATCCTTTCTGAGTGTTCATATGTGTACACGTGTTACTTTGGGCATACTGTATATACATTGATGCTTTGATGAGAAAGGAGTTTTATATTGCTCCATGGCAAAATTGACCTAACTGGGCAACTCTAGAAAAATAGATCAAGTCTTGGGTCTTCCTGAATAGAGGACATTTTGTTTCCCTTATTTTCAATTTGCCAAGACATTTTAAGATGCTGATAGTGGATAAAAAATAACATTTCTTAAGGTTGAATTCCTAAGCATTCTAAAATGTAAGCCCCATCAAATACAACTGGCCTTTCTTTTGGGCAAATGTATAAGATTATGCTATAAGATGCTCAGTGCACTACAGAGGGCTCAGTTTTCACAACTTTCTTATTTTATTACAACAAAGCAATTGGTTTTTAATTATTTTTAGCTGTTTGTTTTAATCTTGCAGCATTAGAAGGCAAAATGAATGAATAAATAGCTACACCAGTGTATACTTTATCTAAATAAAAGAGAGAAATAGGCAGCATTTCTATATTCAGAGGAGTCCATTAGAGCACATTTATAATAGGAATGCTCATCCTTTCCTATTAGAATTATAATTCTAGATTCATTTTTATAACCTTGGAGTCTTCCTGACCTTGGAGTTAACTGCATATCAACAGTTAACTTGTTCTTAATGCATATACTAACTTCTATGTCAGAACTTCCTAATAAGGGATTCATAGCTGTGTACTTTCCTTAATAACAGTGCTTTTAAGAAGTGAGATAATTTGACTTGCTGAAGATAATAAAATACAGCTCAGTTAATTATCTGTCTTCATTTTTTTCTCTTCAGATATGCAGTGAAAGTCACAGTGCCACTGATTGCTACTGTACAAGTACAGACCTCCAAATCAGATGTAATAATTAAACTGCAAGTTCTGGATTCTGAGGAAGAAATGGTGCATTCCATTGGGAAGGGCCACGCTGTTATTCCTGCATTTCATTTCATATCTGCTGAGAGGCCTTTAAGTAGTCAATGTAAGTACAGTATGTTGTATACTGCATTGCCATAATTTTGCACAAAGGAACAATTTGTATCGTGTGCCAAAGGCCTGTTTAACTGCTATTGCTTGACTGTGCTTGCTGCAGGAAATTGCAGTGGGTAACCACATAGCCATGTAGCATCACCAAATGCTTACTTCGTGCATACAGAGGCCAATCATAGGGTCAGTATCACCTGCCAGAACCACACACTTATAAGAGGAGGGATGCAGTGGCCTGGCCTGGATACTTATCACAGAGTGTGGCCAGTCCACATGGGAAGCTGATGACAGATGCTTTCACAGCAATGTGACCTCTGAGAAGAGGTAAATGGAGTGTTCTGGGCAGCATGGAGGAGAACAGTCTGGAACCGCCAGGCTAACCCTGGCAGTGCCCAGCCTCAACCTCTTGCCTTCTGAAGCATCACAGCTGAAATTGGCTGTCTTGGCACAGTGCAGGGTAGGAGGAATAGGAAGGCTACAGTCACTTCTGCACAGCTTCTACCCTCTATAAGATGTCCACAGTCCTCTGAATACAGAAGCTTCAAGGTATCCCCACTAGATTGCCCCCTGCAAAGCACAAATGCACTGGTGGTTAATTTAGTATGATTAATCTCCAATGAAGAGATGGTTTCACTGTTGGGAAATGGGTATTTCTTACAAAAAGTTAAAAAAGGTTCCAGAGTCTGATAGCTGTACTTCATTTCATATCCAAATCAAGCAAATATTTTGCCAAGTATAGCCCACATTTCTTTCCTCTGTATTTAAATAGCATAGATAATTTGAGGTATGAGCCTAAGTTCTTCTGTTGGATCAATTGTTATTCAAATAGAATATTGATTTATTTAAGAATACACAATTCACAGCTTGGGATTAGCTATGTCCATATGGACCTGCCTGTTCTCTGTGATGGCCTTTGGTTGGAGGCCCAGGCAGTGCAAAAATGCTATCACAACCACAAATTAGGTCATGGCTATATGTTATTATGAGATGTTCAGCTGTTATTTTATTGGTTTATCTGTTTTATCTGTTTATTAATTGTTTTTATTATATCCTATGTATTCTATGCTGTTTTAGCATTTGTAAGCTGCCCAGAGAACCTTTGGGTTATGGGGTGGCATAGAAATGGAAATGAATGAATGAATGTTTATGAAGGGCAGGGTACAAAGAAAGAATAAAAGGTAGAAAGAAAGAGAGAGAGACATAAGCCTTAAAAGCCTGTTCTGAAATTAGCATGCACTAAAAATCCTTTTAAATTTATAAGTCTTCTCAACTTACAGCAAGTAAAGGTGGGGTTGTCCAGAATGTTCCCAAAAAGGAACCTGAAGTTGTCCCTAAGAAAAAAGGTGCTATAACAGCTCAGAAAAATGTCAAGTCTTCAGTCAAGGCTACACAGGAAGGTCCAGTTTCTTCTGAAGAAGAACCTATTACTCTGTCTGTCATAGATGAAAATTTAGTTCAGCAGGTAAGCGATTTTAAATAAAGTTTTGAGAAAAGATAATGAAGGTGTTCTGCTAGGTTTCACAGCAGAACAAATTGCCAGTGCTGAAGTTGCTGCACTCACAAAACAATCGCATGAATCTCAGCACCAGCACCCAGGCTGGTCTTTACTCACTGGGACAGGCATTATGATAAGGCCAACTGAGACTCTTCCCAAGCAATGGCAGGGGGAGCAACGATCACTGCTCTGCCACTGACCGTTGCTCCTCTGCTTCTGTCCCTGGCAGCTGCATCAGACTGGGGGTTCTACATCCTGGCTGCACCAGCGAGGCCAACACCCCGCCAAGCACTCCACAGACAGGCCAGCACTGTGCCAGTTGCAAAGCACTGCTAGTAGGCTGCTTTCTGTTTGCCTGATGTGCAGAATCTGCTGTACTTCAAGCAAACAGAAAGTAGATGGTGGCAGCTGGCCAGTGTGCCTTGGCTGCTGGCTTCTGGCTGTGCTGATCAGGAATGGGGACACAAGATCAAGCATCCGCTATCAAGGGGTTGGGTGGCTAAAATTGTGTAATTGATTTAAAATAACAACTTTTGGTGATTTATGAAATAATCACATATTGCATTTGGATTTTACAGCCTCACAAGTATATTATACAAGCCTCAGTGTTATATAATAGCTGGCCACTTAATGAAAGCCAATTGATCTTTGTTCAAGCACTGAAAGAATTAGAAAAAAATGAAATTAAAGGTAAGCCACTTTACTGAAAGTTATGTGTGTTGAAAAGTGCCTTAACTGAAGCATGCATTTCTTTGAATTTGGTAAGAGTACAATGCTAGCACCTCCTGACAGAGCCCTGACTCTGATGGCTTGCAGCCTCAGAGATCCAACTCCAGCGGCTGAGCTGCCTTTGCAGCAGGCATGAAAAGACCACATGAGCTGCCTCCCCACAGATGCAGCTGGGCTACGCAGCATTGCAAAAGGGGCATGCCAGGGGCAGGGAGAGAAAGAAGCTGGGACTGCTGTGCTATGCCAGTGCCTAGTGGCACCCCAGCCTCCTTCCCCTCGCTCCCCAGAACTCAGTCTAGATGACAAAAAACAGCTTTTGAAGTAAATATGTGGGGTGAGGTGCAGCAGCAGTAAATGCTCGTGCTGTCCTTCATATAGATACACATAAACCTGTGAGTTTGGAGGCTCGCATGCATCAAGGATGCATTGCATTCCCTGCTAGGTGGATTGAAGAATGTTACCAGAAATGTGATGACCATGTTCAAATTCCTGAGTGTCAAATAATAGCCATGAACACCACACTAAAAATATTTATTTATAAAGGTTCTGTAAGTATGGAACTCCAGTCACTGTTCTTAGGATTCAAGTCATTCTGTGTTTGTCTGAAAAAAATCTTTATGTGAGTTTACCATTTAAATAATTTAGGAAACAAACAAAGAACTGTTAGCTTTCCTTTCAATCAGAAGGAGGTTGCCAAAAAGTGCTGAAAACATGCCAGATAAATAGTCAAAGTTATTTTTCATTCAGAAATACTGATATACTACTGGATGACAAAAAAAGTGCTTCTCACTTGGTAATTTCTAGAAAGCTCTGTTGTGTCAGCTGAAAGATAGAAAATTTCTGCGTCAAAACTCTTTTTCTTCCAGTTTTGTAATATAAGCCAACAGTGCCATCTGCAGTAGATTTTTAGTGTCCAAATTAACTAGCCAGTACTGAACACATTTTTAAGTGACATTTGTGGGAGTTATTTTAAATGAGGGCTGAGGGGAACCGTACCTTTTAAAATGGGTCCTTGATTTCCTTCCAAGGGCAGAATTTAAGTAGCTAAATGTTCATGTAGGACAGGGAACAGCGGTTTTTATGCCAAAATGAAACTATGACTGCTTGTGCTCTCCTACACATATTCCTGGGAGTAAGCTCTACTGAAAATGGGGAAATTTCATTTCAAGTAAACATGTATAGGATTGTACTGTAAATTCCCAAGAATTATCCTAGAGATGTTGCTTGAAGAAAATCTGTAGATTTTGTGACAAGACACTTGTTCAGAAAAGCAGTTCATCTCAGCTTCACTATTTCTATTCTGTCATTGTCAGCTATCAATCTAGTACTTGACCAAAGTATCAGCTCAGAGTTTTTCTCCAGTTTTAGGGGATAAATTGAGCTCAAAAGATGAGCAAAAGATCTCCATTATTTTAAAGTTTCCAAGGCTCAGGTGGAATGGGAAAATAGAGGGCTTCACTTTTTTTGGATTGAAAATAATATGCCAATTACTTCAAGCTACTTGTTGGAAGTACAACAGCACAGCAGCATGGCAGTCTTCTTTAAAATGGACAAGTGGGAACAAATGACTGTCATAATACAGTGCCAGTCCTACTGAATCATTTTGTAAAAGGCTAGGTTGCCATGCGGCTGGGTTACAGTTTGCACCACGCCTACTGCTTAAAATAATAGCAAAGGTGGGAGATTTGAGGGGGGATATAAATAAAATGAGGACACTCTGTCATCTTTTCTCAAAATGGTAATCTTTCAGACATTTTAGAGTTTGTCATCAGCCACACAAAACAGCCAGAAAAGCCTCACTTTGGTCTGGAGAAAGTAGAGAAGGGTTTGGCCATGCACCCCTGCCTTATGGAGTCCATGCATAAGGCAGGGGTGACACACTCCTAGCCCATGAGCCTAATACATTGAGTTGGAGTCCCAGTCCAACTTGTAGAAGCTTCCCTCCCATGCCCCTCCAGAGAATTTAATCCCTGGCTTTACCTCCAGTTGGAAATAACACTGGGGATTGCCTTTGTGTGCAGCCCCATGAGGTTGGTACATGGCATGCAAAACAGGCACTCAGCTCTGCCAATGCACAGAACTGTTATGCATCAACCAAGTGACAACACTCCTTGGCCTCATGGTATTGGCACGTGGCTCACAAAGGAGGTGTTGAGCTTGCCTCTCCCTTGTGCCATCCAGGTGAGTTTTCACATGCTGCCCTCCTCATGCAAAAGTTGAGGAGTGTGTGAAAAAAAGCTCCCATGTTGGCCAGCACTTGGAGGAGCTGCTTCTCCAGGCACTGGCTGAGTCCCTTTCTCTGTGCTGCGAGAATCACTGAGCTCTGTGCCTCTCTCAGCATAGAGAAAGGCAAGATGTGCAGAACAAAGTGGATAACATCAGAGGAGGTACAAGACTTTGGGAGCAGGATCCTATTCTCTGCCATCCAGCCTGCTTTATTGCTGTAGTGGCATATAGTTCTTGGACCAATTGCTGTTTGGCAGCCCAGTTATTTTCTTCCTTCTGTATTTTGTTCCGGCTTCAGATGCCACTTATGAAAACCTGATATCCCAGTATAGATGTATGCATAACTATCTCCACCTTCTTTTATACACACTGGAGATATGGTCAAGCAACAAAATTTATACAAATTTATGAGTGACCACAGCAATCAACCAACCAACCAACCAACCAACCAACCAAACAGTGCCATAGACAAACCATAAAGAAAACTCCAGGTTCTAAACTCACTTTCTTCCTGGATAAGCTAGTGAAAGTCTTACTCACCTACTTTTCTTTTTGTCTTATTCACAGTTAATTCAACAGTGCATTTCATGAGTTGGGCTTCCTTGCTTCCTATGCCAGGATACAAATATAAGGACACTGAAATATGGAAAAATTGAGAAATTGAATAATCCCATAATTCCTCCCAATATGTGGCCAGTTGCAGTACTTCATCCAACCAGTCAGAATGGCAAAAAACAGCTACTAGAATGGCTTTGTGCCTCCCTCTCTTACTGCTTGTAGTAGACCTTTGGCCAGTAGCACTCATTGTTCCCAGAGGAAACCAAGCACTGTGGCTCTCTTCTGCAAATTTATGAAATTAGAAGCCAGTGAAGATGAGCCCTGTTCAGAGCAAACCAATTAAATCAATTTCTGATTCAGTGGTTTAGATAGCCAATTAGAAATGACTTAGATATTTCCATTTTCTTAATGAGTGGAACTTATGTCATTCTGACAAGCTGATTATTTTTAAAAGGGGATTAAACCTGGAAGTGGATTGGGTTTAAATTGAAGGATATTTATTCCCAACTGGGGTCCCTGATTTCCAGACACTCTAGATGGCACTGTTGGTCCATATTGGAAGCTAGGGTTCTTTAAACTAATTTCATTTCAAACAGGTTCTAGTGCTAATAGTGCCATATAAGCCATTACGTTTGTCATTTTTTCACATTTCTAAATGTGCTTACACACACAGAGACATACACAAAATATATATTTCACATTTCCAAATGTGTGAATATATATAGTGTGTGTGTGTGTGTGTGTGTGTGTGTGTGTGAGAGAGAGAGAGAGAGAGAGAGAGAGAGAGAGAGAGAGATCTGGGTAAAAGGCTTATAATAAAGGATTTGTAAATAGTGGAGCATGGCATCTGGTCCAATCACTTCCTGGCAAATAGATGGGGAAGAAATTGAGGTAGTGACAGCTATTATTTTCTTGGGTTCCAAGATCACTGCAGATGGTGACTGCAGCCAAGAAATTAAAAGACGCTTGCTCCTGGGGAGGAAAGCTATGGCAAATCTAGACAGCATACTAAAAAGCAGAGACATCACCCTGCTGACAAAAGTGCGTATAGTCAAGGCCATGGTTTTCCCAGCAGCAATGCATGGCTGTGAAAGTTGGACCATAAGGAAGGCTGTGCGCCAAAGAATTGAGGCCTTTGAATTGTAGTGCTGGAGGAAACTCCTGCGAGTCCCTTGGGCTGCAAGGAGATCAAGCCAGTCAGTCTTAGAGGAGATCAACCCTGACTGCTCTTTAGAAGGCCAGATACTGAAGTTGAAACTCAAATACTTTGGCCACCTAATGAGAAGGAAGGACTCCAGGGGATGGTGGAGGAGCCTAATGCTGGGAACAATAGATGGCAAAGAAGAAGGGGACGGTAGAGAGTGAGGTGGCTACATGGAGTCACTGAAGCAGTCGGCGTGAGCATAAGTGGACTCCAGGGGATGGTGGAGGACAGGAAGGCCTGGAGGAATGTTGTCCATGGGGTCGCAATGGGTTGGACGTGACTTCGCGACTAACGACAATAACAATTCTGAAAATTTGCTAACTGCTCTATTTTTGGCCTCAAAACATGTCAAGAATCATCTCTGGAAAATCACACTAATATTTAAAGAAGATGGTCAGTCTTGGGTTAAGAATATAAAAATATAGCTAGCCTTAGGGATGTAGGGTTTATTCAGAGTTTAAGGTTCTGATAGACTAAAGTATTTCTAATATCTGGAAAATACCATGGAAATACATCTTAACATTTCAAGTAAGGCAGAAATAGAATTCTGCTTTTGCTTTTTAAACTAGGTCAAAGACTAGACAAATACTCATCTATTCTACTACTAATGTATCATCTGTTTAGAAAATAACTAGGTCTTATTATCTTTAACTAAAATCTTCCACCCCGTCACACATTCAAGTGGCTTAAGTAGCTGCCGTTTGTGGCTCTTCATCTATGACACTTGCATTTATTTTCTTGAAATAGTTATACTCTCCTTAATCAAATTTTATTTTAGGGTGGTTTACGACAATATAAAAACACAAGTATATAAGGTATACATACACTACAATTTGAGAAGATGTACTGATATATCTTTTACTGCTTTTTATGTACTCAAAAGCCAGAACTAATAGCAAAGTTTCCAGCATTCCAGAATAGACATGTATGTATGTGAACAGTGCACATGTTTCTTTTTCTAAGCCTATGAATG